ACTTAAGACATACTGTAGGTTACACACAGATTGAGACTTTCTCTAGTGTAAACAATGGGTTCCACGTCGGCCGGCCACGCTTACTACATATGTATCTTTCCGTAGGACTAGTTCCTCTTTTGACTTTTAAGACATATTGTAGGTTACACACAGAGACTTTCTCTAGTGTGAACCATGGGTTCCACGCTGGCCGTATATGCCGTGACACCTCTCGCTATAATAGTTAAAAAAATAGATAACATAAATAGAATGCGCTGAAAATTTCCGGCAAATTACTCCATTCTGAACCGAGATATTAGCTTTTGAATTTTAGGCTAGCCTTGATCATCATTACTAAAGTAGGTACAGATAAGATAAGATAAGATGTTTATTGCATCAATACGTCCATAATGGACAGCATGCATACATAAACATTTAGACATAGTCATATACATTTAATAATACATATAATATTATATAGACAACTCAATACATTCATACAAACAGTATACTACATGTATATCTAAGGGGTTTCAGTTACACATACAAGTAAATGCCACCAAATTTGATTTCGCTCTCTTATCAAAAGCCAAAAACACATAAGCCACTGCCTTGGCAATCGATTTTGGTGGGTTAAAGAGATTAAGAAAATTGTAGGAAATCATAGGATTTACTGAGAAGGCTGGATAGGATGATTAGGCTGGGTGCGTACGATAAAAAACAATGTCTTGATTATCCAATTTTACGTTTAATTATTTTTCAGAAAATGTATTCCAATCCGCTAAATATCGCAGACTAGCGATGACATCAAGAGTTGATTATGGTCTGGATAAGTTAATTAGAGTCTAATTAATAATTTACATGTAGATAACATTCCAGGCCTAAAGAAAGACCTGCAATAGACAGATTTAGCTCTTGCATAATACATGTATATGTTTAACTTGCTTCCCGAAAAGTTAAGAAAATTATGTATTCCAGTGCTATTGTGTAGCAATACTGATAATTCCAGGTGTTGCAAAAATGATGTGTGGTTACTCTTATTATATACTGTGAACCAACCTGGCATACCTTGTTAGTAGTTATTCCCACCAAGGTTTCCACTCTAATCTCTCTATAAATAATTCTTTAAAGTCTACTTGATGCCTATTTGAGTGATATGTGACAGTTACAGATTTAAGTAATATTATTCCAATTTGGAGACCAAGGAAATATGTCAATCATAATGGCCATAACTGCCAATTTTCTATTAAGTGCAGCAATGTTTGCTATCAGAACATATTACATGCATGCAGGTAAATTTATCTCAAAGATTGTTTCAAGTGGTTAAAGCATATATTTAATCATCTCAAAAAGTACCACTCAAGAAACATGCCTACCAAGTCCATTTCAATAAGCAGTTTAGGAGAAGAATGCAGGAATTAATCCCATTAAGGAGATCCCAACCAAACTCCACAGGGCCAATCTTTTTTTTTAATTTTAAATAAGGTAAATTAAAATCAGTTCAGTACATAAATTAGAAATTTTGAAAGATTCAATAAATATACCAGTACCGGTAACTTTAATTTTAGAGCTTCCAAAAGCAATTATGCATGGACAGACAGACCAATACAACCTCATTTCAACATTGGCATATATAATTTAACCAGCGGCTGCCAGGCAGGATACGCCCACATTTTCGAGAGATGGATAGAGAACAAGCTTAAAAGAAAGTGATTTTTCCTACAATCAAGGGCCATAATTCAGGAAATTACAATTCGATATGCGCAAATATCAAAAGGAACCGAGAACTTTGTGTTATAAACTTACATTTCAAGTTTCAACAAAATCGGATTAAAATTGTGACCTCTATAGGGTCCACAGTCTTGATATACCATATTTTTACGCTATTTGAGAACGAAGGGCGGCCATTTTGTCTGTCAGTTTTAGGCCGTTTTTCACGAAATTCGAACTCAGCCGTCCTTAGGGTGTAACGGTGATATATTAATACGTTTTTTTAAATCGGATAAAAATTATGACCTCTATAGGGTCCACAAGCCAAAAAACGTGTTTTTGCGTACAATCAGGGGCCATAATTTATGAAGTTACAGTCCGATATGCGCAAATATCGAAAGGAACTGAGATCTTTGAGTTATAAACTTACATTTCAAGTTTCAACAAAATCGGATAAAAATTGTGACCTCTATAGGGTCCACAACCATGATATACCATATTTTTACGCTATTTGAGAATGAACGGCGGCCATTTTGTCTGTCAGTTTTGGGCAGATTTTCATGAAATTTGAACTCAACCGTCCGTAGGGTTTAACGGTGATATAATAATACTTTTTCTTAAATCGGATAAAAATTATGACCTCTATAGGGTCCACAAGCCTAAAAACACGTTTTTACGTACAATCAGGGGCCATAATTCAGGAAGTTACCGTCCGATATGCGCGAAAATATCGAAAGGAACCGAGATCTTTGGGTTATAAACTTACATTTCAAGTTTCAACAAAATCGGATAAAAATTGTGACCTCTACAGTGTTCACAAGCCAAAAACGTGATTTTTCGTACAATCAGGGGTCATAATCCATGAAGTTACGGTCCGATAGATGCCAATATCGAAAGGAACCGAGATCTTAGGGTGATAAACCTATATGTCAAGTTTCATTGAAATCAGATAAAAATTGTGACCTGTAGACTGTTCACAAACAATTGTGGACGGACGGACGGACCGACAGGGGCGACGACAATATACGTCCACATGAAAATGTGGGCGTATAAAAAATCTAAAATCGAGTTTTAGTATTCAACGTCCCTTTAAGAGACTGTTCATTTAGTGCAAACATGTAATCTATTTATTTTTGGATCTTGTCCAAGAGGTTTTTTTTATGTAATCTTTATATTTCTACCATTTTTGTCTACACAGAATTTTACCTTGAGATCAATAAAAGCGATTGTATCATTCTGTTTGATACATATATTACACATAATGTATTGACTTCACATGTAAATAAAATATAGTTAAATAAAAACCATTAGATGAATAGGCAGCTGTACATGTACTTTCTTTTTCAAAAAGAAATGGATACCATACATTAAGGCTGGTTAATATTATGTATATGAACAACTATTCAGTCCAAGATTCCTACTTACAAACCAGAAAAATTACTCGATTTGGGGTTTCAGAAAGACCTCTATGGTGTCAGTCAACATAATCAGATCGCTGTCAATCCACCTTTGCCATACGTAGCCATTTTGTACATGTATTAACACATGACTATATAGACTATTATCAAAATTAGACTTTTTTTTTGATAAGGTCACAAATTAAATTTCTTAAAAACAAATTACATGTAAAGTGGGAGAAATGATAAAAAAATGAATAGTTGATGGCCATTCGAAGTTAAAGATGCATTATGTAAGCGCTAAATCTGCCTATCGCAGGTCCTTATCTTGGCTTCAAATGTTATTTAAACATACATTATGCAAGAGCTAAATCTGTCTATTGCAGGTCTTTCTTTAGGCCTGAAATGTTATCTAAATTATTTATTAGACATTAATTAACCTATCCAGACCATAATCAACTCTAGATGGCATCGCTAGCCTGCGATCTTTAGTGGATTATGAGCCGATTGACTGCATAACTTTCCTTCACGATTTAACGATTAAATGGTTAATTGAGACTATGCTGTTTATCTTAATGACTTTAGTAATGATGATCGAGGCTAGGCGGAAATTTCGATCGCTTTAGTTCTTGGTTCATAGTGGATCAATTTGAATGAAATGTTCCTCAAATTGCCTTTACATTATCTAGTTTTTAACTATTATAGTGAGAAGTGCCAACTCGTTATCGAATCTCCCATAATGTATCTTTAAACTATTATTTAGATATTTATTCACATAACAAGCCTACAATCAACTCTCTAGAGTATTGGATGGCAGAGATTTAAATGGATTAAAAGAAGGACATTTGCCATTTAATGATTTAATTTAAAAATGGCCAATCAAGGCTATGTCTCGAATGACAAGTACTGTTGTAGTAAACAATCTATGCTACATCTTGTCAAAACATCAAATAGTGATAACTTTGCCCAGAATAAAGTAATTTGAATTAAATTTTCAATACAAATATTCATTTTGCATATCTTTTTTTGAACTATTATAGCAAGAATGGTCAGCTCTTTATCTGAATCCTATTTAATGCATCTTTAATGCTAGATATTTCTTATCTGCAAGATACGCACCCATTTTGCAAGTTATGTACAGAGAACAAGCTAAAAAAGCGATTTTTCGTACTATCAGGGGCCATAATCCAGAAGGAACCAAGTTTCATCCAAATCAGATAAAAATTGTGACCTCTAGAGCATCCACAAGCTAAAAATGTGATTTTTCGTACAAACAGGGATCATAATCCATGAAGTTATGATCAGATACACATGTCGATTGCCAATATCGAAAGGAACCAAGATCTTTGGGAGACAAAGCTATATTTCAAGTTTCGTCAAAATTGGATAAAAATTAAGACCTGTAGACTGTCCACAAACAAATTGTGGACATACAGGGGCAACAACAAATATGTCCACCTGAAAATGTGAGCGTATAAAAATAAATTACATTTGATTCTAATTATACATACAACCATTCTATCGTCCAGTACAGTTCTTTTGAATTATGCATGCTTGTTATTAAGAGCTGAAATAAATCACATGATTTGAGTTGGGTTGATTGGGTTCAGTTTTGAATTGTTATACCTGACTTTCAGCATTTATTTCATTTTTCAACATACATCATACAAAACTTTATCAAAATGTTCAAAGACAGTCGCAAAACAGGAATACAATTTAGCTGATACAAGCAAGGATCTTATTAGTAATTGCTATAGTTCCAGTGGATTATTCTTCAAATGTCACTTAAAAATACAATTTTACCGGTACATGTAAACATAGAGTAACCATTTTTTCAAGACATTTCAAAATACAAAAAAAAAAAAATGTTTAAAGCAAAGATTCAATTAATATAAACATTTTGTTTAAACTCACCAGCTGAGATACAATTGAGGAGATAGCATTCCTTATCGCTAGGCGTAATTCTGGTATTGTTTTAGCTTCTAGGAGAGGAAGGTATGCCTCCTGAAAAACATTAAAATTAAAACAAAAATCAATGCATTAGTTGAATACTTGGTGGAATTTTAGACTAACCCATCATAAAAATGAAGTTCATGCCACTAAAAATTATGACTTGAGATCCCAACCAACAACTTGATTGATATCGTAACAAATGACATAGTGCACAAACCATTCTCAAACTCTTTGAAGATGTAGGTGTATAAAACTTAGTGTTTTGTCCTTCATTATTGATGGACAATTAAGGTTGCTGTTTGATGATATTCCCACATGCCATAAAGCTAGTTAGAGCTAGTTATAATCCTTCTGATTCCCTTATTGATGATTTCAATTTCACATTTTAACTATTTGCACTTAAATAAATCACTTGTTTTTAATTCTGTATTAAAAACAATTCTTCTACTGCAATGCTTGTAAGACTCCTTTGCACTGAAAGTCTGCCTGACAAAAATCTACATAGGTGATTTTATTGTTTGTTGATATTCCCACATGACTAATATACAACCAGGACTATTTTTTATGATCTCCCTCTTCTGTCCATTATAATATTACTGACCCATAAATAATACTGATCAATAGGTGTCAAGTGTTTCTGTTGTCAAGATACTTCAATCAGTCCAATAAAGGTGACCACGCTATTTTCTTCATGACAATAAAAATGACCCATAGATGTTGAACATATTAAACCTTTAAGCCCTCAAATTATTTCAGTGAGTATGATATCATTCTCTTAAGGTTTGTAAATGTTGAACCATATAATGCCTACACGTGGTACTGATATTCAATAGTCCTGGACTGCTTGAAGCCACTTTCCATGCGTGAGGTTTATAACATAAATCTATATTAATATTGTTAATCATTCATAGTTTAATTTTACACTTATATGGGAAAATCAAATGTTAACTGAGCGTCGTATTTGTGAAAATATTGCTAGGCTACTGGAGCATGCCTTCCTGAATTGTTTTTTCTGAATCAAGTGTAATTTGAATCAATTTGATGCATACACTTTGCACATATTAGAATGATTTATCTGTACAAATGTCTCATTTTCTGTCAATTTTATGCCTACATTTATATGGAAACTATGTAAGATATCAATAATTCACTAAATCCTTAATATCAATATTGAAGTAAGACACCACTTGAGCTCCTATTTTGAAATCATGTTAACTTCTGGTATAAGAAGCTCTCATTAGAATTGGAATGGTATCGGTCTCCAATGACATTTGTTATTATTATACCCAGTTTGGAATTCCTCCAAATAGTACCGGTACTACATATATGTATATTTTTAAATCAATTCCAAACCAGCGGCTGCCAGTAGGATACGCTCACATTTTGCACAAGATGGATAGAGAACAAACTAAAAACAAACGTGATTTTTTGTACAATCAGGGGCAACAATCCAGAAAGTTATGGCCTAAAATGTGCAAATATCAAAAGGGACTGAGATCTTAGGAATATAAAGTTATGTTTTTTTGTGTTTAATCAAAATCAAAAAAAATTTGTGACCTCTAGAGGGTCCACAACCTTCGTATTACACACTTCTACACAATTTGCATACAAAGAGCGGCGATTTGGTCGGGCAGTTTCCATTCGATTTTCCCCAAATTTGAATATGACCTTCATTATGGTGAAATAGTGATGTATTTAAATGGTTTTTATAATTGGAAATAAATTGTGACCTCTTAGAGAATCTGCAAGCTAAAAATGCGATTTTTCGAACAATCAGGGGCCATAATCCAGGAAGTTAAGTTTGGGTATCCGCAATTATCAGAAGGAACCTAGATCATACTCTAAGTGTGTAATGGTGATATTCACACGGTTTTTTTTAAATCGGATAAAAATTGTGACCTCTACAGGGACCACAAGCTAAAAATGTGATTTTTTGTTCAATCAAGGGCCATAATTCAGGAAGTTATGATCCGATATGCGCGAATATCGAAAGGAACCGATATCTTTGGGTTATAAACATGTATATCAAGTTTCATCAAAATCGGATCAAAATTGTGACCTTTAGAGGGTCCACAACCTTGAATTACCAGATGTTTACACTATTTGCGTACTTAGCCACAAGGGGTGGCCACTTTGTCCGGCAGTTTTGGTCCAATTTTCATGAAATTCAAACTCAGACAAAATTACTGTGTAACGGTGATATATTCGAACGTTTTTTTAAATCGGATAATAATTGTGACCTCTTTAGGGACCAAAAGCTAAAAACATGATTTTTCGTACAATCAGGGGCCATAATTCAGGAAGTTACTATTCGATATGTACGAAAATGGAAAGGAACCAAGATATTTGGGTAATAGACATGCATTCAGGGATCGAATTTGACAGACGCAAACACGCAAAATGCGTGTTGATTTTGTAGACTGCGTGTCACAAAATATGTCACACGTAAAAAATGTGTGTAACATTTTATCGCTTATTGTTACTGATTAACATGATTTTTTCTTTTACGCAAAATCAAGACGATAATTATGACAAAAAACGGAAATTCTATAGATTATTTTCCGTCCTAAGTTCCTTGCAAAATGTAAATAAAGCGATGTCTATATCCGGCGTTTTGTGACATCTGCGCATGCATTCCCCCCCACCCCCCAAACTGATCAGGGTAAAAATCTTATATTTTATCGGCTAGGAGTTTACCCTATTCAATAAAAACAATACACACATATCATAAATGACCTCTTTCAGTGTTCGACTATCTGTCCTTTCATTATTGTCGTTATATTCCATCAAACAAATTCCGACATCGGTCAAAAATATACGTTGCTTTCACGGACACAAACACAAACAGTTTATTAATTAATAGTAAAAAAACATGTACCGCCACGGGGGATATATCGCGGTTTTGAATTTTCTGGATGATATTTAACACAAATATTGAAAAAATGTTTACCTTTTGATGTTATTTACGACATTTTATTGCTTAATGATGAATAAATACTATAATATAAGGTGATTTGTTTACGTCACGTGACTTCTCGCTCACTTTTCCAGCATTATCCGTTTCTTTTCAATTTCTATAAATCTTGACAAATTGTTTATACCGATACTTTGATTTTCTAAAGGAATCATTGATTTTCAGATTGAAATAAATTTTATCATTCACTTCAGCGTCGTACGTACGTGTCATGCATAACAAAGCTGTCCGTGATCCGAAAAATTGCTAAATCAATGGACACTTTTTGACATAGTACTTATGTTTTATAGTTTAATTTACTATCCTTGTATTATATAATGCATCCTCAAGAAGGTATACGCTTGAATGAGAAAAAACGAGTTTTCAAGGGTAGCTATAAAAATAGGTACGGCCGAATGAACACAAACTTTTTTTTATGTTTTTTCATTAAAGGAGCTAAATCGCTAATATTTGGGACCTAGAAATTGACACAAGTGGGTCGCAACTCATATAATACCGTAATATGAATGTATATAAACTGATTTACATTCAATCGTTTCCGTTTTTAGTCTAATTTCAAATCAGTTATGTTCCGTGAAATAAGCCAGCAGTCTCAATCGAGTGCAAATTCCTAGCGTCTGGTTATTCCAGTCTACATAAGCCGTTTGGTTTGGTGCAATATGTCTAGCCTCGTTCCTCTAGTCTCTTGCTAGAACTGGGGCTGAAATGCATTATGGTACACGATTCGTGTACCAATGGTAAAATATTTATTTTGTCTTAAATATTGGATATCAGAAGCCCACCTATTTCCTGTAAGATCACAGCATCAATGTTGTTTTAAATTGACAAATAATTCGTGTTTTAAATGTTGAAGATTTTGGATGATATTGAGTTAGAGACTTAGCTCCTTTAAAGCAAAATTTTGCTTGTGTGTTTTCAAATAAAGTTCTATCCCTGCATGCATTTTAAGTTTCATCAAAATCAGATGAAAATTGTGACCACAACATTCATATACCATATTTTTACGCTATTTGAGTACGAGGGGCGTCGATTTTGTCCGTCAGTTTCGGTCCGATTTTTACGAACTCAACCATCCTTAGGGTGTAACGGTGATATATTGGAACGTTTTTTTTAATGGGATAAAAATTGTGACCTCTATCGGGTCCACACGCTAAAAACATGAGTTTTCGTACAATCAGGGGCCATTATTCAGGAAGTTATGGTCCGATATGCACGAATATCCAAAGGAATCGAGATCTGTGGGTTATAAACATACATTTCAAGTTTAAACCAAATCGAATAAAAATTGTGACCTCTACAGTGTTCACAAGCTAAAAACGGGATTTTTCGTACAATCAGGGGCCATAATCCATGAACTTACAGTCCGATACATGCCATTATCGAAAGGAACCGAGATCTTAGGGTGATAATCCTATATTTCAAGTTTCATTGAAATTGGATAAAAATTGTGACCTGTAGAGTGTTCACAAACAATTGTGGACGGAGGGAGGGTCGGACGGACAGGGGCGACGACAATATACGTCCACATAAAAATGTGGGCGTATAAAAATGTATATCATCATGTTGGAAATTTTTTGAAAGATGATAGAATATATCTTTATAGAGGAACGAAATACCAATGAGTATGACTTATGTATAAATGTAAGTTTGTTCATTTGTCGTGGGGTGGTCAAATTTATGTAATGTTAAATTGTTAATCTACTTTTTTTTACTGTTCCAAAAATGCCATGGAATTGTATGTTAGATTTCTATAAACATTTTCTTGAATGGGTTTAAAGAATTAAACAGTATTCGAAGGAGATATTGTATAGATACTGTAATCTAAATGATTATGAAGGACAATCTATGTATACCCTTTTATTAATACCACCTAGGTCCAGTTTAATTAATTTTCCAACAATGTCACTGATTCGAAATTTGGTATAATTTGTACAATCTTTGTAAGGATTGTGTTCAAAACATATTGATGTTGTACAGTTCGTGACAGTACTGACCCAGATGTGTACATGTACTTCCTGTTCTGAGATAGGTTTCAAACTTATTACAGATTTCTATGGTGCATTAAATTTTCATTTCA